GTTGGTTAATTAATGTAGTTTTGTAATGATACTGACACGAAACTCAAAACTTTGTACCAAATGGAACCCGAATTATTGCAAATTCTGAAAGACAAAATATTTTTTATGCATTTAAAAAACTATATATCATGGAATATCAATAAAACTACAAAACAAAAATTGCACACCGGTATGTTTCCAATTGATTGCTGTCTCACTTATGTACTCGTGCTCGCGTGACTTGCGAAAATGACAGCTAACCTTGCCGTCTTGCAAGGCCGGTTTCAGGGCGTGTTCCCATTATGTCGTGACTACAGATAGTCGTGCGGTTTAAATTGTCGTGGCTTGTGTATTTAAATGAAGTTGTTCACATAAGGTACAACACGATTAACTGTCGTTCACGGCTTTTTGCCGTTACGACAGACTGTAACGATAAATAAAACGTCACGATAAAAATGAGACGACAGATAATCGCAATTACTATTGTCGTCACGTTTTATTTATCGTTCTCTGCACGTGCACCGATAAATTGTCGTCACAATCTAGTGCGAACAGCTAGACACGACAGTCGTTCAATGATAAAATAAACGTCCACGACACAGTCATGGTCATGACAGATAGTCGTGATATGGGAATAGGCTAGACGCAATAGTCATCCAACCATAAATAAAACATTACGACATAATGGGAACGCGCCCTCAAGAACAATAATGATAGCGGCGTTTTGGGAAGAATTATAGAGACTAGTAATTTAGAATGCCAGTGTGAAAGTAACTTTAGCTTTGTGCTGGTGCTAAAATTAAAAATTATTTGCAATTAATTAGATATATCTTTAAATGTTAGTATGTCGCAATGCTCGACTCAAAAGGTTAGCGACCTAACATAACTAAAATGAAAACAGGGTTTTCATTAATTCCTATTGAAAGCAATAATGTAATAGAAGTCATAATTAGTATATTGAGAATCGATTTTTAAATGCAGTATCTATTTTATATAGCGGGGAAATCTTTGATATCGTGTCTTGTGCAGATATATTGTTAATTTTATTTAGTGGACTGAAACTATTTCCTTAGGGTTGAACCTTTCTATTCAGTACGTTTTGCCACTGCGTCCATACAAGACGTGTCTTCATAGAAAACACGTTGAGTATGACGCGTACAAATAAAACTCACGTTTAGTAAGATACATTATAAAAAACATGTTTAGTATAACATGTGTTTTAAAATATGTTTAGTATGATGATACCCACGTTCAGCTCGGGTATCTTTAGAGGTGACCCCCACTATACAGCAGCAGTTATAAACGTCGATAAATTACTATCGTATCAAAGAATCCCTCAATAATACTACATCGAAACCGTCCATCCGGCGTGTTTATTTTGCTCATAAGTACTTCTGTAGCCTTGCAATACTTGTGTGTTGTTATTATTAGAGTAGCAGTAGTATCACTCACTAAATAAAGAATTTTAATCCATTCCAAATGAGACTTAAGATTACCACTCTCGTACTAAATTGATAGTACTCCATTAGCATGTTGCGGTATAAAGGCTGACAAGATACTTTTAGAAAGCTTTCTAATGGCAGTCGATTGAAAGATGCTCACAGTCTTACAGCGGGCATTCAGCGGTTCAGGGTAGCAAAGGACCGAGGTGAATGGAGGTATAGGCTTAGGAGATACAGTTCTGCAATCTGCCTACAGACTTCCTCCCTGAACTGGGGCCTTATCAAGGCGAGGGTGAACGTCAAATGCACACTTATTTCCAATAAAAAGAAATGAATTAAGAGAAGTGCGTAATTGTGGGCTCAGATAGACACGTTAGCGGTAATGGTGGTAGTAGTACCCCACAAAATACGCTTTTACGCACAGGATTCTGTGCCATGTGATCCAGAGAGGTCGAACTCTAAATCTATCTTGTCAACCTCAATTTATATAAGTGCGTTTCCAAGTTGTTTTGTGAAAAAAATCTTCAGCTCATTGGTTAGGAATGGATTTTCGAGTTGTTGAAACTGCAGTTATGTAAGTATATACTATGTAAAAAACTTGGTAGGCATGTTAAATTCCTGCACATAGCGTAGCAATATTAGACAAAGTAAACAAGAAATAAAAGAAAATATTTTCGCCATAAAGTACATGTTACCGTGCATAATTTTAAAGTATTACCGAATTCCGTACATATACTGTTGTCTCGTTAGGGCCTGACGACACTGGTATGCTCATTTCATGTCAATCCAGTTTTAATTTACATTATTAATAATAAAAAGATGTTTAAGAAAGCAGACTACTATTTTCAAAATGATTTTTTTATCTATACATTCAGAACATCCCAATCCTATGACGTCGGATACGAGACAACCTTGTATCTACGGACTGTACTCGATGGGATTACCTATCCACAGATGAGCGCTTTTCAGTTTTTTTTGTCATTAAAAAAAATAAAATGTCAATGTTAAGGTACAACCGATCAGGTAACCCTTTGATTAAAGAAAAAAAACTGAAAATCGTCATTAGATACATTTTAAGTTATCATAAATAAATTGTATATTGATTTATATGTTTTGTGAATACAGATTTTACCCCAAATTATTTCTGTGTTTCATTTCGACCTTTGAAATTTTAAAGATGGAAAATGCTCACAATTTTGAATGTTGTCCCTTAATTAATGAACATAACTTTTTTATTAAAAAAACCGTCCTCAAAAGTTTGTGGAATTACATTTTGCCAAGTTTTAGTGAAATCGATTAACGGAGAGTGGATGAAATGCAATAAACCTTATTCATCCTCTTATTTACCATTCTCAGAGGTGGAATATTTTCTTCAAATTCGTATTGAGATACCTATGCCCTTTCCAACAAAAAAAAAATTATTGAAACCTGTTCACAAACGTGAAGTAACCGCCAAAACATACAGTCGAACTAGTGGGAACGAAGGGAATTTGGAACCTCCTTTTTTGAAGTCCGTTAAAAAATAACAACGACTATGTGATATGTATATTGGTTACTATGCTATATAAATAATTATACTTTGTAGATACAAACATCTGTATATCAATATATCTTCTGAACAAGAAGCCACTCCAGAATATGCGCACTTATATTTTATATAAAAAAAAAAAGAATTTTGCGACTAGAACCAACTAATTCACGACTTTTTCTGAGTGTGATTACACTCGAACAACAGCTTCATGAAATTAAAAATGTCTCCCGGATTAAGCTTATGTACCAGCTTTGGCAGTAAAGCGCTTTCCCTTAAAACTGTAAAACACTTGAAACTGAACACACGATTGAAACTACGTTTCACTAAAAAATAATAAATACCGACCTTTTTTGAAAGCAAATGGATCTACGTTTGGTACTGGTTCTCGAGTTTGAATAATAGTGACGGCAACAGAATAAGCGTATCCCCATGTAGACAGTAAAATTTCCTTAGATTTTTTTTTGTTTCTAGAACTTAGTCCGTTCACAACTTTTTCCCAGATTGGTTAAATTTTAAAAAGTAGATTATGCTGATGCCGGAAAAAGATACGTGCTCATTTTTTTGTCTCATATACAGAACGGAAAATAAGCTAATAAAAAAAAGGCTAATAAGGTTTGCATTGCAAAGAAACAACATTGATATCAATATTCACCCTTTAGTAAATAAGTAGTAGGTAATCAACTTTTAATAGATTGTTAGGGTTAAAATCAATTTATCAGTATTGCGTACACACACCAATTTTTACTGTATTCACAGGTCTTGCTGGGCTCATTTATAATGACATTTGGTTCCGTAAAATATAAAATGTTTTCCTTTTTTTAAATGCTAAAAGGTTGTGAACAATTTGGGAAGGAAGATACTGGTCGGATAGAAAAAGATGGAACTATTCCGTTCTAAGGAAACTATTTCTCAATTTACATTGTTGCGGAAACGAACGGAAGCGATTTTTTGTAACGGAATTGCACTTAGCATAGTGAACTTTAGTTATGTCTATTGTGTAACGTACGTACAAACTAGACACGATACGGTAACTGGGAATTCCGAGACAGCGTGAGTATCTAGTTTGTAGTTACACAATTGACACACAAATCCATTCCGCAGCATTGTAAATTGAGCCTTCGGGTTATCTTTATTCTCTGCTACGGGTCTTGTGACGACGGCGATAATGAAACGTCGAAAAGAATACAACCAAAAAGTTTACAAGAACATTTTTATTGCAAGCTAATAATAATTGGCTTATTTTTAGACACATTAATTAAAATTCTTTGTACACATTCCCGTACTATTTTAAAATTTACTGTGGAGTAATTACTTATTGTGTGGTTTTGCGATTTATGCATAATTTAATAAGTACATGTTACAAGTGTGTATGAAATTTGTTAAATATACTTCTATAACGAAAGTGGTTTATTTCAAACTAAATACCCGTATAAACAATAGTTTCGATTCTGATATGTGTAATTCTAAAGTAAAACCATGTATACCAATCTGAAAATTAAATTCCCTTCAGTTTTTTTTTTAAATTAAGGGACAACACTATAAAGGTCGTGATTTAAGTCTGCATACGTCCAGAATTCGCACCCTTGGTGTAATAAGGCCGCATCTAAAAAATTACAACTTTTCTGGAGAGAAGTTTAAAGATGCTACTAACGAAATTAGCAGATACATTTTTTATTAACAGGAGTTATATGTAGTTATTTCATGTAGTTCGATAATTTTATGACTTTCATGCCTTCGTTATGACTGTGGTTTTATTATACCAAGGGTACGAATTCCTTGTAAGGAATATTGTCACAAGGCTCTTCGTCCATAAACTATATATTGCGAGCCGGTCGCAAATGTATGGGACTTTCCTTCACGCTATCTTTGGGCGCCCTCAAATTAGTCGTTTATAGAAAGCACTGCACCGTCACTGTCGTGACACGCGCGGCGCCACTTTTGCAGTCACAATTAATGAGCTAAAAATTACTGAAGCACTACAGACGCGCGTGTGTTCCTTATGTCTAAATTCCAAGTATCGACGATTTTTTGGCGTTTCCGAGACTGAAATTTTTTACAGTGCCTTGAATGTCTTATGCCTTATTTTTTAGTCTTTTTTATTTTTAGCATTAAGTCACTTAATTAAACAGTAATAAAAAAATACTAATAGTAATTTTTTATTCTGGTTACATGGATATGACAATATTGTAGATAGTATAATCTGTGGAGAATGATAGTAATAATATCGTCTCTCTATCCAAAATTACATTAAACGCCCTCTGTTTTTTTTCGTATGAAAATTAAAGTTTTATTAGTATAACTTGAGTTAATAAAGAACTTTTAAAATCTCATGTTTGGACTGCCTAAACGCCTAGCCTATAATTAAAAAACCTACTTTTGAAATAGTCTCGAAAGTCTCGTTTTCCCGGTATTTTTGCGCACCGAGACGGATTTTTTTTCCGGGACACGGAAATGCTGCGAGTTTGAAAGTCTTAGTCCAATTTGAAGGCGCCCTTTCCTTTGTACCTCATAACATCCGACTGAAATATGACACTGGTTTATTTCATATTTTGAAGTCAGACCCGAGTATTAAGACATTGCAAACATAAATAGTTCTCGGATTTGCCTATTCCCTATTTTTAGATTCGTTGCATTAGTTTAAGAAGTAAGCACATCAGAATCGTCAATCGGTAACCACGAAAAACGTACAAGAAGTTAGTATTAGCTTTAGACAAATGTTTGTTCTTGAAACGGCATTTTACTTCAATCAGAAATAAAACCAATAATGGCATAATTTAATTCATTAAAAAATCTTAAAAAGTTCCTATTCTCTGGTCAACTCGTTGAAGGGCAGAGATAATTAAGCAGGACTTTACATTATACCTACCTATTCTAACCAGCGGCACTACTAATAAAAACCAATATGTTTATTATAAGAAATGGTAAAAAATACCAATGTTACATTCATTTGTATTGAGAAGAGAAATATTTTTGCCAAATAAAAAATTAATTGCTTTTATGTGCACGTTTAGTAAGTAGAAGTTGTGGAATTATTAAAGAATCATTTTATTTGTTAGCTGACAAAGGTAAGAACTATGCAAAAGAACGAGAACAGTTAAAATGTAGGTTTGTTAAGATTGAATTCTATGTAAAGAAGACGTAGTTTGAAAGCTTCCTCGTTGCTTCGCACAAGTCTGTCCTTGTTTGACGTCCAACATGTTCACCAGTGAATGGAGTTCTTTATTTTACAAAATGAGTTTCTATTATTTTCCACAAAAAACAAATTAAAAAAAAATCCTTTACATAAAAAAGGATTAATTAAATAATAAATTTTATCATTTACTGTATGTACATTGCTAGGTCACCATCTAAGATTTTAATAATTACGATGTTTTTATTATTTACATTGCCTACGTACAAAATCGGTGTGTTTCAGAGTAACGCACGATCAAATACTGAAGACGTATAATGTGTAAATGCATGTATCATATCATAAGCATTACATTTTATTTTGAATAGCTGTATAACACAGAAGTTTTGGAATATTAGCAGTGGGTATGAGTCTACTTCAGAAAAAATAATGTTGTGGCTCAAATTCTGGGAGTAGAGTAAGTTTCTCAAAAATTACTACACATAGCTATCGTATGTCCTATTTACTCACAGATGGATTTCTAAAGCACATTGTGCGTATCGAATTCACGTAAAATTACATCTATTAGGAATTAGTTACGACCAACTTATGCGATGTTGCAAAGTCAAAGAACTGATTTTTCTGAGGACATAAATATGGAAGTGAAAAGTCAAGAGTAACCGTCATTTAGAGTTAAAAGCAACTTTTATCCGCTATGTTCGATAGTTCGTTTTTTATATTCTTAGCAGACTGGTACAAACTTAATTTGCCTAAAAACATTCACGAAATTGCATACCCATTGTTAAGTTTAAAGGTAAATTGTCTTCAGGATCTGAATCGTCGTCATCTGAACGAGATTTTTCGTCTAAAGGAGATCTTAGCTCTGTTTCTATTTTAGTTCCGCTTTGGCTAGTACTTGGTACCTCGTCTAACTCTTTGTCATCGGTAGGAATAGATGAATTTTGGGAATTCTTACTAATATTGTTTACGTAAGAATTTAACGTTGGACTTCTATCATTCGAGTGTTTATACATTACGTTTACAACACTTCTCAGTCTTTTGTTCTCACGGTTAATTCGACGTTTCTTTTCTCGGCTAGAACTAGTCTTAATGGAGATTCCGCTAGGTCCTGGCTGAGGATCTATAGGTGCAGGCGCCGGCGGTTCTTCTGGATGTGACACTACATCGCTATTTTTCTTAGATGACTTCACACCTTTCCCCGATTGCGATTTCTTTTTGCTTTTTTTATCCTTTAGAGAGTCTGTCTTGGATGAACTTCTCTTGCGTTTGTGATGCGAGCGTGATGTGTTACGTTTCTTACTTCTTTTTTTGTCTGAATTTTCGCTGCGACTTTTTCGCTTCGATTTCTTTTTCACTCTTCGTTTCCTTCTGCCGCTGGAACTGGATGAAGTAGTGTAGCCACTAATGTTGTATTCGGAGGTATCGCCGTCCGTCGAGCAGGATGGGCTTAAATACGAGTCGGTGGAGTTGGTGTCGCTCCAGGCGCGGCTTGGACGCCGTTGTGCGGGATAAGGGGAAGGCAGCGGGGAGTAGGAAGGGGACGGCGTGGAACGACAGGTGTCGCTAGTAGTCGCCGTGTTATACGATCGCTGCCGTTTTCTCCGCCGCGGGCTAGGAGGCGTGTACGTACTGTCTTCACTCTCGGAATCCTGAACTCTCTGTGGAGGATGTCTTTTCAAACTCAGCTTCACTAGTGGCACTTGCCGAGTCTCAGTAGCTTCTATTGATGCGCTCTGTGATGGTTCTGACTGCGTGGTATCCTGAACGACAACGTCGCTGTCTGACCCAAGTAAGTCTACTACTTCTGGCGTTCTATCTTGAGGTGGTTTTATGTATCCAACGACCATTACTTCTGACGAATCATCATCTGTGTCGGAGTGCGATATGGTTTCAATGGGAATGACGTTGGCTGGCGGGTTGGGAATGTAATTTAGTGGGTAGACGGGAGCCGGTAGCGGCTCTCGGGACGGCCCTGGCGGTGGCTCTGCCGGCTCCGAGCTGGATATTATCAGAATGTCGGAGTCCACACTGGCCTCCGAATCTGAACTCGAAAGAACTTCATTAACCATCGTAGATATTCTTCGATCTGTGGTATATTGCACATAACGGTCGTATCCGGTCATATCATAAGGAGTGGACGCGAAGCAGTAAAGCTCGTGAAGAAAGTGTTCTGTACGTTCTCCAAAGAACCGTTGCATTGCTTCCTTGAATTCCGGCGAATTTATTGGATGCTGAGGCAGTAATTCCATAATTCGCGTCATTACGTAAGAGATGTGTCCAATATTTTCGTTCAACAGATAATGCAATTCTCTGTTGATCCAAGGCACTAAGCGGTGCATCTGGGAGTTGTTGTACCTATGGAAAATAAACTTTGTTTAATGAATTCTAGTTGTACAAGTCACAAACCATTACAACACTCACTGTGCATTGTGCCTTAAATCTTCAAGGCACAATGCACAGTGAGTGTTGTAATGTAATACTATAATGTAATACTTATAAAGTAAGTTAATAATTTATTTGTACGTAAAAACAAATACAAAGAGTCTGAACATTTTTGAAATCAACTCTGAACTTCAAAAAAACAGAAAGGTTAAGATTTAAGAAATGTATGTTTCATTGTGTTTGACATTCAGCTTTCAACTTTTGTCCGTTTTTAGAGTAAGGTTCTCGTTCTTATGATTTTATCTATAGTTATGCAAACAGAGACAGTTCTTCCTTTCTGTTGAATTGAATGTTGACAACCTCTGTGGCTCCGCTAAGTAGTGCTTTGGAATAACTTTTTTTTACATAATTTCAAGTGACGGGACCATTGACCTATGTCAATGGACGGGACGAACAAGTCGTGCGCCTGATGGTACGTCTATCCTACACGACTATCCATAACAGTTGCAGTTTGTGCTCATAGTACAGGGAACATTATAATTCGTATTATTATGTACCTGTAGAATTCAGGAGTGCAGTCTCGATAACGACCAGTGAAGTCAGGTAACGGTCGCGCCCATAGGTTGTGGCGGTATACAGTACGGCGAAAGGCGGTTGGCGAGCGTCTACGTCGCGCCGGTGGCGCACGGGGCACAGGAGGGGGGAACACGTCCGCCATTAAAGGGTACTGTAGAAGTAGCTGTTGTATTGCTAATGATTCTCGTCGTGGTAGAGTCAGGGTTGTCCTGTAATTGTTATAATAGTAGGTATCACTAAGGGGACAAAATAGTACCAATTCGGCGCTATGATGAATCCAGAACAGGTGTAGTGTCGAATTTCATATAACAACTGAGAAAAAAAATGTTTTTGCTCCTGAATACGAATATACGTTTCATTTACGACACATAGAAGCACAGCCAAGACCTAGCTAGCCAGCCAGTTCCATATTCAAACAATCTCCTTTATCAGATACTTCTCAAGGCGCACTTGTTGTTCAATATTGCTTTCACAATCATACTCGTAATTCAAATATTACTATGGCCTAGAAAACAAAAAGTTATTGCGGTCCCTTTTCATAAGAGGCCAGTGATATTTTTCTGAACACAACCATGTGTTTAATAAGACATAAACGTATTTAATGTGTTTAATAAACATAACTGTTTAGCCTTAAATCACAATACTGCATAATGTAGATAGAAAACTAAAGGCTTGAGCTGTTTTATCAAACATTGGTAATAACTGGACTGAAATAGCTTTCAAGGCTTTTTTTATGATACCAAGTTGTGCACCTGGTGGTGCTTTAAATAGATCTGAGGGGTACTGTCACTGAACCCGTAACCATCAGACATAAGTTGACAATTCCATGTTTCTAATTTCACCATGCTTATTATGCTCGGTGCTCATTGTATAACTCAGTGGGTGGATCTAAAACTCATTTTTAGAAAAACAGATTTAAATTCAATTGCCTTGACTAATAAATAGTTACCTATATCTGAACCTCCTGGTGGTGGTAAGATTGTCAATATCAACTCTTTCTTCTGTCTCCTCAGTGCGTTGTTCCACCATATATTCCTCATATTGATGGTTGGAGCGCACATTATGTATTATTGACCTGAAGTTCTGTTTGCACAGGGGGCACTCCGCTTTTACCTATAAAAGTTAAAACACAAAACAAAAATATTTAAATCAGCATTAATTATTGTTTGATAATAACAATACAAAACCACATTCAATTATATAGAAATAATATAAAAATACTATGAGTATATCACCAGTTGATTTAGTATTGATTATATATTAGTATTTATTATTTATTTATTTATTTATATTTTAGTATTTATTATTAGATCTAGATAGACGCCGCAAGTGTACCTACTTCGCGCGCCCAATGTAAGTTACAAGACACTTAGTTGTTACGCTTCCGAACGCGCTCGATTACGACAGTTATTTTTAAAAATTACTATGGTGAAGTGTAGAAGAAATTGTTTACAATAATACAATATGTTGATACCTTCAATGAACACGACGCCAACTTAATTTTTGGACCTGTTCTCTTTTTATTTCGTTTTTTGTTTCTCTATCTTTTTTTCCCAAGATTCGGGGAGTATGATATTAGTAAATAAATGTGGCTGTTTACAAAAGTAACAGAAATTGACCAATAAATAAAGTTGGTGTAGTGTTCTTCAGAGGCTTAGAATAATTATTCTAAGATTGGAGGGATCGACGTGTTTTTACATTGTCGTCATGAACATGATAATGAAAAAGAATTGTTGTTATTTATTGACAGGCAGGCAGCCAATAACTGATACGCCGATATCTGTACTAGAGTATTGTCTATAAGTATACAGGAACAACAATGTAATTCACAAACCTTACACAAATCAAGTCATCTCTTTTACTTCTTTCTTTTTAGTTTGCAAGTAATTGTCAAGTCCATCTTTCAAACTATTAACTAATAAACTGACTAAAGCAGCATCAACACATCAATCAACTCTTGGGGTAGTAAATTCAAACTATCCAGGATGCAGTTTTCATGTCAAATCAAATTTTATAGGCCTGGTACTCGCCATACACAAAAGTTAAGTAACTAAAGACATTGCGGAGGCTTTCTAATAAGATTTAATAGACAAATATCAACTATATGTGTCATTTGAGCATCACTACGAGACCATCATGAAAAACAAACGTTAATATTGAGAATTTCACAATTATTTATCGCATTTACCAATCATGATTCATGAATCACTCATTTTGTAGTTGGTGCATACAAAGTCAGTATCCTAAGTTGCTTCAAGCTCCTTAAGATACCCAGGTGCGATGACACAACATATTTGCCTATTTTTTTTTTGCATATTTTTTTGATAGTCTTAACTTTTGCTTTTGTTTGTGTTAGCATCTCTTATTTGATAGTTGGTATGTCCAGATAGACATGTATTTCATGGGCTTTAATGGACACAAAGATTGAACTGTGGGTTTTGGAATACTATAAGTTCTGCAGAATCACATATTGTCATACAATTTTGCATACTGTGGATTTTTATTCATTAAAATTTTTTAAAAGATATACTCACTTTACTCCAAGTTAAGAGACATTTGAAACAAAACTGGTGTAGACATGAGTCAGTAAACGATTTGTTGCGACATGTGCCCAAACATATTGCGCAGTTAGGTGGTGGCGACCCGCGCCCGCCCTCCTGCCGGGGACTGCTGTCATCACTTTTCACACTACTTGGGTTAGCCCCGGAACTATCATCTTGTGTCACCGTTGATATATCCATGATGAAACTTTAGAAATGAACACCTGAAAAATGTTTACTATATATATTGACTCATCCGAAGAACAGAGCCCGGTGTGATAAGCAATAAGAGATAAGTACGTTATGAGAATAATTTCTTTATTCAAACTAAGGCCTATGTAAAGGTGTTTTAAGATTTCATATATCTTATTTTGTTTCGCAATTATAAAATCAAGCAATGGTCAATCTGACATCTACAGCGAAGAATGAATGAAATGTACCATGTCCTGAGAACAAGCAGTCTAGCATATAGATCTTTATACCTATTTTGGATTTCGAATAAACAAATTTAGTTTTTGTGATGAGCCTATGCTCATCGTTGCAGCCGTTAACTGTTCTATTGTGATCACCACTAATAACAGTTCGGAGCTAAGACCAAACAGCATTAAAGAACTGAAGGACTTTCCTGGCTGACAGTTTTTGAGTCCTCTGGGTGTGGCCTGTGCCTACCCAGTATGGAACTTCTTATGCCTGTAGTCTTAGTTGTACAGTCACCACGCTGGTCTGCCATGCAGAGGTTCCGGGTTCGATTCCCAGGTCGGGAGAAGTGTTTGAATAGTCTATATTTACTTCTCTCGTGAGTTTGGGTGAAATTTTATAGACATTACCAGTTTACTACTATACACATTACAATAAATATTTTTACAAAATGTGATACTGTGTCAATGAATATTTATTTGTGTGCAATGTACAATAGATAGGTATGTAAAACAGTGAACAAACGCAATAAAAATTTATGAGAATACATCTGCAATAGATAATAGCTACAGAATTAGTAGGTAGATAAGTACCTGCAAGATTACCTACTTTATTCCGTAATAATAATACCTAGTTACATGTGTCACTGAAATAGATGAAGCAGCTGATAAAATGACCTTCGTCATCTCGGGACATGTCCCTTACCTCTGGAGATATCCTGGCAGGCTTCTTGCACATGCACCCCTATTACATCGCCAATGTGCGAGATATTGACAGATTCTCTGATGAATGGAATGACGTGACGAGAGATGAATTATTTAAACACTAAAAACAACTGAATATTTTCGCGGACACCGTCTCAGTGATAACAAAGTAATGCTCGATACTCATCGCAACATTAAAACATTCAATGAACTCATTTCATGAAGCCGTATCAAATAATTTCTATGGAATCACAAAAAATGTAGCCATAGCCACATACCAAACACATTGAGCTCGCTCTCGTGAACCATGCAAGTTACGATTGATTGTATCACAAACAAGCCACAGATAATAAATTACAACTAGGTTGATTGATCAATCCTATTAGAAACGTCGTAGAAAAAGTTTGTTACAATCAGACTTAAGTTGAAGTGACTGCGTCGCGTGATCGCGTGGTGTGTGTGCGCCTTAGGATAGATACATTGTTATGTCATTCGTACCAACATTCGAAAAATTCATGTCAATGTCAAATGGATGAAGTTGTCATTGTCATGTAACTTGTCAATCAATTTATATATTGAAAAAAAAAAATTTAAAAGAATTTTATTGACATAGCGTGGTGGCGGTGTTATCTAATCGATTTTGGGAACTTTTAATTGAATATGCCTGTAATTAAAAAGGTACTTACAATAAAAACTTTGCGTATTTTCTGTGTAATCTATTAATTTTCTGAAAAACAATCTGCATTTTCAGACGACGGGACTGGTGGGCTTGGCTGTAGCAGCTAATGCTCATCATACTCTTAATGCACTTTACGGCAAGATCCTCAGAACTTTGCAAAAGATGCCAGATTGCCCATACAAGAAATACACTGAACAAATCGTACGTGACAGGAGTTGTGTCGTGCAAGCGGTAGGAACATATACTTAATCTCTTTTGTTTAAATTTAATTTCATACCTATCAGCTATATGCAACATTTGTATTGCACTATACATAGAGCATGGAGAGATATAACGTATCGTTGCTTTAAATTAGAAAATATATAATATAAATAAATAGAAACTTTACAAGTGAAAGACTTAAATTTTTAAATGTTTGGGTTTATATTTTAATAATCTTTATACATAACATGTCTTTACATAAAAAAGTTAAAGAGAACAAAACTGAATAGACGGCTTGATAAAGCAAGAACTTAATTGAACCACATCAATAAGTAATTGTTGATAAAGTGAGCTTTGTCACCTTTTGATTTGTGGCTGAACAGTTGTCATGCCGGATTGCCATGCAGAGGTCCCAGTTCATTTCCCGGGCTGGGAGAAATATTTGTACAGCTTACATTTATTTCTCTTGTAAGTTTGGGTGTAATTTGTGGTTGTCTATGTATGTGTCCATGGCATCCACGACACAGGGTTTCCCGAGTTCAGGGCTATGTTGAGTGTGTGCGTTATTATTATTATAATATTTACTGTGGTAAACACATTGAAGAGTGGTACTTTCTCACATTTTGTATTAAAAAGCTACATGTTTTACATGAGTAGCAGTCGCTGTATATACTGTATAGACATAGTGTTAACTTGTTTGCACTAACCTATGTTTCAACCTAATAAAGCCATTTTTGTTCTTTTTAAATTAAGCCATTTTGGCAAAGGCAAACCTGTATACAATTGTATTTTTAACAAACCATATTATCTTTTCAATGAAAAGGTTTACATATCCAAAATACAAAAGAAATTACATCTCTGAATGGATGATGAAAAACAAATTGTTATAATTTATGAATTCCTTTACAGACAAAGGATGTATATGAACTAGAACAAGCAATGAATTGTGGGCAAGCTGAGGAGTTGATCATTCAAGCTGAAAATGAGTTGAATTTGTCCAGGAAGATGCTCAACTGGAGATCGTGGGAACCACTTATGGCCAAGCCTCCAAAGGGCCAATGGGACTGGCCCCCAGAGAAACCCTAAATTGCATTAATGTTATGGCTCACTGCAGTTTACAACATAATGTAGAAACAATTTGTTAACTCTTATTTAATGAAATAGAAATTGTAATAAACATATTTTACTTACATCTGTTGGCACCTGTCTGTGTGCCTATTAGATTTATTACTTAGTAAAAATGAGTAAATTTTCAGTTTGTAAAATTGATTTAAAATAAAAACAATGTTTTATATAACATTTTTATTTTCTGAATAAAATATCAGAACTTAGGGCTCTATCACACTTACATACTTTGTACGTACATAATATTTTAACAGGTTTAAATGGCACTAGGAAAAATACAGAATTAAATTAATTGTTTTATACCTCATGGCAAAATAGTGCTATGGTCTTCTAAAGTGTAAATTTCTATAAAATAAAAATTTGATCTTGAAACCATAAATAAACAAGATAATTTTATTACAATTATCACATGACTTGACTGAAATGAACTGTAATAATATCTAATAAGTGTGTTAGAGCTCATAAATAAAACATGCTTACCATTATGTCTTAACATATCACCACTTAGAAAGTAACACGGAAATCCGAGTATTAGTACTGTTAATTATATTACAAGTGTATATTTTATAGCCAATTTCTTAACATAAAAATTAAGTACTTACAATCTAAGTTTTTAATTGGATAGAAAGGCGTTACGGCAGTTACAGTTCAACATACACTATTAGATTTGATTGTACTAGTCTTTGGCTTGCCACTGCCACTGCAGTAACCAAGTACAAACACAGGCCACTTAGACAATATTGAACATGATTAGATACATCATTTTATGTTTTATATTACTACTCAGAGTATTTTTAGCTACCGTCTTAATACTGCCTAAAACATTTATTTAGTCAGGTATTCAGGTATATATGTATGATGCATACAATAATTAATGTTATGACACACAGAATATATAGGCATATGGATTAAATTTGGCACAATAACATGATTTTACTTAATTTCATACAGGAATGTTATCAATTTCATAAAGTGCATTATGTTAGTAATAATTAATTTTAACTTGATAAAATAACAACAATATAATAACCAATTCATAAAATCTAAAATTCATAATCTAATTACTACAATTCAAAACAGTAAAGGCAGATTTTTATATGCATTTATCGTTGTAACCACTTATCATAATTTGTGACAAAAAATATGGATGTGAAAAATTAAATTAATTGGTGTGTTAAATGGTAACTCACTAATAAAATACAATGATAGCTCAACATAATAATGTACTTTACTACACAGTTGCCAAATACGTATCATAATTATATATATCATTATACTGAGTACTTTGCTTTCTTAATAATATAAATATTACAATTAAAAAAATAAATAACGTTGTAAATCACTTGTCACAATAATACTTGTCATTGTTAAGATTTAAACCTATAAGGGGTTATTCTTAAAAATTTTGCAGTTTGATCATAACATAGTGCCAAAAATAAGTTTGGTTTGTATTCTTATATGTATTTGTCCATCACTACAGTTATAAATCAAACTGCAAAATATTATAATGACACATAATAAAATTTTTTTATGTTGAGGTGACACCTTTTCTAGCTACTAGCAGGTTGAGTATTGGGTGCTTCTTAATGTAACTGACTGCTTTTTTGTGTGTTACCATTGTGAAGTCATATCCATTGCATTGCAGGATCTTGTCATGCATTCTTAACCCAGCTTTTGCTGCTGGACTTCCTTCATGGACTTCAGTTACGTAAATACCCTGTAATTCATATAAGCACATTACTGATATTTGTGTTTTTTGTTAAAATTATAGTGCACAGATTAAACAAGGGTGTAAGATATAAAAATGTGAAAACAGAGAAAGCCAAAAAGGCTTTCCAGGGATTTAGCAAGTGAGGTCTCTATCTAGCCCACTGGGAGAGAGGCAGCATGTAAGATGTGTATAGTAAAATTGAATGACAAATTCGTCAGCATCTATTTATCAGGTGTCTCAAGAACTAAAACTTCCAAAATTAGCTACAGCAGACACATTAAAGTACAAAGTTACCTTTATATTTTGAAGTAGCTAAGTATCCGTAACCTATGACGCGTTACTATATATACTTCTTTCTAGATTACTCACATTGTCTGTGTACCCCTGAGGGCTTTTTCGGTAGTCCTGATCAATACCACCTCCAATTTTGAAGCCACATTTCATCACTTCCCGACCTTCAGCGTCAACACCAGCCTCTTTTTGGAGTGTTATTGGTATCTAATAGGGAGAAAAAGACTTATTTTTAATGGAAGAAAAAGAAAAATGTAAAGAAAAGAACAGGGAGTGGTCTCCAAACTTACGCTTAAACACTCCATAGCCGTACCGGCCTGGTGCTGAAATGCCATTTTAGCCATGATGAATGATTTTGGTTTACCACGCGCTGGTTCGGAAAAGAAAGAACTTATTTTCACTGGATATAAATACAGGAAACTAAACAACAGCGAGCGACAGCCACCGTCACACAGGACTTTTTATTTTTACAGTTTTTATAACTTGGATACAAATATTTTGTCCGCCAACGCAAATCGAGAATAAAAATATCCGGTATTTCCGAATAGCACAGCACTACAGCTGTTAATGCTTTTTATTTTTTATTAATGGCTTTGTGTTTTTTATTAATAATTTTGGCTTGGATACACGTACTTGGAGCCACGTCTTCGTTTAATTATGTTTCTGTAAATATGGCCGCCACAAAGAGGATAGGCAATTTGAGGCGGCGTGCTTGGATTGACTCGGGATTCCTTAGAACGGGCCGATACGGGTACTTTAGTTCGAGATTCGTATAATTTCGAGCTTAAATCTAATACATAATATAGGCCTTGGCTTCGCATTTAGCCAATGAAATAGTTGGGAAAGCAGAATTACAGATTACGGAAGAGGTACAGAATTTGGACGAAAAAGGATATGGTAAGTTGGATATATTATTTTAGTTTAATTTTAAAGACAAAAGACATAAATTTCCAGCGAACAATGTTAGAAAATTAAATTATTAAAAAAAATCGAAGCAGTGTACAGTAATACTGCCACATTTAGAAAAATGTCGAAAACATAACATTTTTCACAATGAAAAGATTTTTTGATTCTTTTTTTCGCTATTGTCCCATAATTTGAAATCTCATTTTACTCTAATTTGCTTTTAGTTGTACAATATTATATATAGTTCAAGCCAAATAAAACTTTAAAAGATATAATATTGAATTATATTTTTTCAACTTTTTTACATTATCCGGAATTTTTCGGAAAAATTATATTATTTGAGTATTTTCGGTAAATTACCCAAAAATAGGCGAATTGGATGCGTTAGCCTGTTCCAAACTTAGAGGATGGAAAAAATAAGGGAACAAAGAATTTTTTCCATTCTCTAAGCCACTAGTATTTTCCTTTTAGCCGAAGGCCTAAAAAAAGCCTTGGGCTAAATAAAGGATGGATAAAAGGGTAAATTATTGTATTTGTCATTCTTGTCAATGTCAATGTCAGTTAATCTTTTATGTGTCATTCGTCGGACTAAATATTGTTTTGAATGTGATTCGTCTAATTTTTTGCTAAATGTGGTTAATATTGATGAAGTGTTATAAATTAATGTATTTTAAAAGGACTTAACGTGTTACAAAGTATGAAGTCTTTATCATGATTAAGAAAAAAACATAACCATCAATATTTTGTTATGATTCGGACAAATTTATGTAATGCCTGATACTTTCAGATGTCCGGTCCCAGATACGTGTGGCGTATCGCGTTTCAGAATTTCATCGACTCGTTTAGACCTAGACAAATACGCGGGAATGATATAGGTAAAATCTTCTGTCCCATAAACATAATTTATAATTTTCATAGCATATAGCAAAGAAAAAATATAGACATAAATATGTTCATGTGAGAAAATAAACTGGTAGAAGAACTATGCTCTGCCTGGTAATATTTAGTATTTTTAAGTTTATATCTTTAATTGTCTTGGAAAAAAAAAATATTTTCAGGAAAGGACTATATAGGCAATAAGTACTATGAAATTCCAGCGGACCCAAGTGTGGGTAAGAGGAAACCAAAAAGATGGTATTTTCCACCAAAGGGTAGGGATTTTCAAGATCCTATACCTGCAGAATGGCAGGCATGGCTTCGTAAGACAAGGTATTTCAAAGTTCAAGTTATTTATAAAGTCTTAACCACAACATGCACAAATTAGAATTTAATTATATTGTTTTACATTAAAGTGGTATGCTGCTTTCATGCATAAGGTGTACCATGAATACATTTAAAATACCATTTCTAGTCCATAGTTACATGACTCCATCAATCTTAATGTATTATTTACACAAATATACTTAACATGCAATATTTTTAGGCTTAAGTTATAACATAACTTATTTTTACTTTAATTAATTTTTTGTTGATAAATGATTTTGTTCAAGAATATTTTATTAAATTCACAATTATGTAGTAGCTGTAGAGAAACTTGTGAAAGAGTTTGTCTAAGGAAATAGTGCAATTGTACTGATGTCTGCTGCAAAGCAATGGTGTGACCATTACTGCATTCCAATATTGAAGGGTTTCGGTGCTGTACGTGTGAAACTATGGGCTTCTGAGGCTTGTTAACTTTATATCACAGGATGACGGACACAGTGGCTGGGTCTCTCAGGTCTGCAATTTAAAGTTCTGAGTAGCACTGCAGCTATTATGGATAGGCATGCACACCTTGATCATGAAAAACAAAACAAAACAAATAAAGCACTATAGATCATACTATAACAATAAGTAGAAAAAATTATTGTTGGGATACATTCATCCAAAAGCTTTGGATGACAGAAAAGTGACAACTTAAAAAATTTTTTTAAACTGACATTGTTTAACACCGAAGTTTATTGTTTGACACTGCTAAATTTATCTAGTTTGTATTCTGTCTTAGATATAGCTTCACATCCTTATAGTTTACACTGTTCTAGTCTTTTTTCTGCTTTTTCTTCAACCTCCTTGTACAATGTATTACACACATTTTATTTCATTGTAATATCATTACATCTTGACTAATAAAAACTGCCCTTACAGGGATACTCCTCCTACTGAGGAAGAAATAGCAAAAAACCTAGCTATAGCCAAAACCAAGGAGATCAATGCAGCCAAGATAGAAGAAAAGAGATTACTGCATGGAGGATCTGTTCCAGCAGTGCCAGAAAAAGGAAAAGGATCGTTTCCGGCATACCCAGATTTGCCTTCAGGAGACCCTGAAAGATTCCTTTATGATGATAAAAAAGATGATTTGAACAAATAAATTAAATATTTGCTTTGACATCGTATCTCGAAACCACGACACTGGAAGTAATGGCTATGTCGATGTATAGTCAAATGCATTAAAATATGTATACTCTCAGAGAAATTACAATTTAAAAATATGTAAAACAGTTCAAACTTTAATTATTCTTGAATGTTTGTTATGAAAATGGAATTGTAATTTTGCTTCATATTTATGCTCTCCTCTGTGTAGTGTTACCATCTTAGTTGTGATTAGTAAAAAGGAACTAACACTATTTATTAGAAATGAAAGTTTTTTTTCAGATCTAACTCGCATATTTTTTTTTTGTTTGATCATCTTTATAGGTCTGACTATGTCGGATAGCCGTGACCATGGGAATGGAATAAATATGTGCTAGTTATTTTTGATGTTAAATACTCTGACCAACCACACAGAGGCTGTAGCGGGAGCGTTCCAGGCCCGGGAATGCAATTATTAATAAAATTTAATGTAATTATATCTTAAGCACCCTGCCACATTGAAAACGAGTGGCGGGGCGGCGCGGTCCGGGGTCGAATCTTATGACAAACAGGCGCGGAAGTTTGTATTCCACTGAGTTACCTTCTAAATAGAGCGGCAGCGGCAGGTCGAGGTCCGAGAGCGGGGCTTTACCGGGATTGCACGTCGTATTTTTTTAACTCTTGAGTGTGTTATATTTCAATATGAATGCGACCGAAATTTCTTTTGCGTTGATTCCGTAACGCTAAACCGACAGTCCCATATCTTTCTACTAAGTTTTGTTTATAGTGCCCCTCCCTATCAACCTGTTGGTTATGCGGGAGGGCACTATGATCTGTGCGAGCGAACCCGCACAGGGACCATCTAAGTCAGGTCCTAACCCCGGATCAGCCTGTTTGCACGGACTTTATCCGGTTCTTTATTAGGCTATTGGCTTAGGTGATCACTATCCGAAAGTGATATGGCGCTTTCTTTAAAATCTGTAGAAAATGAGGCGTGGCTGCTGTCACACCGACCGCCTTCGCGCTGCTATCCCGCTGCGGACTCCCCGCTGAGTGGTCTAAGCTTTAGATTAGTTAATTTTAGAAGTTTGCCTAGTGTTTGATAATGGCATATATAAAAGAAAAAAAAAATAAACACGACATTATGCATTATATGATGATGCACCTTGACCATTGAGTGTTTGCTATTTGTTCACAATTTTTGTTGTGTAGTTATTTAGATCTTTGGATGAAATCCAATAAATATTTTAAGTAGCATGTATTGGAATTTCATGTACTTAGTCATATTTAGTGAAGAATAAATTATTATAATTTATGATTTTAAGATTGTTTTTTTATATTCATTTTTCGTACTACAGTTCTAAAACGTTTTAACAAGCCCGCTTTAATAAGGTAGTGTAATCACTACCTTATTTCAAGGAACCCTAATTCTAACATAAGGAGGTGTAATAAGGATATTAGGACGACTTATATGTATACTCCCAGCCGATTTCGGTGAAGGCGATCAATTCAGCTCGAATGCTGGCGGCGTTCGTGAGCTCTTGGCGCATGTGGCCGTAGCCAATCTTCTGAGCGAAAATCCTCGTACACTGCGGGCATGTGAGCACACCATATAACTGATTAGTGATTACCGTAAGACGGTCGGGTCAGGGTTCAGTTCGTTACGTTCAAGTTCCGAGCGTCCGGTCAGCCTCAAAGTCACAGACGATTTATATACGTATAGTGGCGCTCAAAGTTGGGACCACGCCCGCCTTTGATACAGGGCCCTTGGAAGCGGGTAGTGTAATAAGCGTTATAGGCCTCACCGTTGTACATCACTAGCTGTTGTGGTGCAAAATCGGGTTACTAACAACTTCGCAGGAATATTATTGTAACATTATAAACAACAACTTTTGTTGTATGACTTTTTACAAAACTTATTAAACATATCGAGTTCTCAGATTTTCGCGATTGTTACACATAGTAAATGAAACTATTTTTCCGGATTTAAATCGCGAATACTTGTTTTTTCCAACAAACCGACGTTTTGGGCCCTTCACTGGTCCCATAGTCAACCGTGGAGCATGGGACCTAAAGGGCTCGAAACGTTGGTTTGTTTGAAAACATAATATACGCGATTTAAATTCGGAAAAATAGTTTCATTTCCTATGAAAACTTATTAAATTTATCAAGAAATAATGAAGTTTTTGTTGTACTATCTGATAGTTTTTAGATTTGTAGGTATTTGGTAGAAGTTCAAACTTGCAAACGTCCTCCCCCATCGACCCCCACATCCACCCCTGCATTTTGCATCAGACTGGTGTTTACTTGAGCGCTTTCTTTTGTTACCGCACAGAGTTATCACCGTTTAGAGCGATCTATTTAGATAGATATAACGTTTATTCAGCACAAATACAAACAGAAACAAATCATTTACAATCACTTCACTGAGTATAACATAAAAGCACATAGAACATTCATTATAAATTTTATACACATATGTATATATAAAACACATATAGCGAGAAAAACAAGTACTGTGAGAAAAAGAAACAAATACTATAAGACCTGATAAAATTTTAATGTACCTCTGACTACAGTTTGTGCTGAAATGGCCCTGACTTAGCATAAATACTGTAGACCGAGAAAAGTCAAACAGCGTTGGTTTTCTGCCAGTAGTACCATATGGTTAGCGATCGCCATATTTTAGAATATTTTTATTTTTGTAAAAGTAAAAGTAAAATTTGAAGTCATTGAACAAAAGTTGTTGTTGTTTATGATGTCAGCAATATGGCTCTGCGAGGTTGTTAGTATTTTACAAACAACCCTGTATATAAATCGGGATGATAAGAAATAGATAGGGTTGATAGCAGTCTAATTAATGTAAGTTAACGTTAAGATGGCCTCCGTGGCCGAGTAGCTTGCACACTGGTTTTCATGGTGTCGCCATCTCTGACGTCCCGGGTTCGATCCCCGGCCGGATCAGTGTAGAACAAATAAATTTTCTATATTGTCTCGGTTCTGGGTGTTTGTGGTACCGTCGTTGTTTCCGATTTAGCTACTTACTTTGGGATCAGACCAACGTATGTGATGTTGTCTAATATATTATTATATATTTTTACTTGTCATAAAATTGATGGGCATAATTTATTAAGAAAAAATATGGTCCTCTATTATGTGGTATATATAATCTAATGTTAAGTCTCATTTATTTAGACGTCTCGTGGCGCATTTTTATGACTTAGAATTTTATGTGAAGGCTATGGTTTTAATATTAATAAAAGTTATCTGTAGCTATGTAAACTTACCTTCCTCTGTTCTAACTACATTGGTTGGTGGCCTCAAAACGATGTATATGGAATGGTTTTATCTTGACAAGGCCAGCAGAATGTATAGTCGACAGCACAACAAGCTATAGATATACTTATTTCAATATCGCCCCCAGAGCAACTGAACAAGATGTCGAAGACATCGTCCGTATTCGCCTGCAAGTCAAAATATGTATCATATAAATTGCAGAAAAGTTAATTTGCTGTTCTAGAGTGAATCGAAAGCGATACGTTTTCATTTGACACCCGAATGCTAACTGCTGCTGGGTCACTTTGATCGTCATATGGGGAGATCCTGTTTTACACCCGGTTGAATTAATAAAACTAAAAAAATACTCGGTATTTCTAACCGGATTTAGTTTCGTTGTTATTTTCGAACATGGGCTCCAATCACAGAGCATTCCCGAATTATACTCGTTTATATAATTTTTGTTTCTACAAATGTAAGCGCGCATTTGACCTACATCCCACCTGATGGAAAGTGACGATGAGGTGGACGATTGAGCATGCATACCTAAATAATGCCTATTCACCCTCGCCTTGAAAAGGTCCAATTTAAGTGATAACGTTCAGGGATACCTACTCATTATAACAAGTTTACCGTTAAAGGGACACATCGCGATATAATCTGTACATCGGAGAGTTTAAAAATGTTTTCCGTAACGTATTACATCGTATTCCAATCGTTGCGTGATCATAATTATTTTGTGTGTCTCTTCCTCTTATTTAAGAGCTAGGCTCCCGGGTTCAGGTGCTACAAACCCGGCTCTTGTCGGCGGAGTACCTAATTACCAGTCATCACTTTATTTTAGCGCCCTCGCTTTGAGTTCCTTATGCAACACGTTATTATAAGTTTTTCCCTTATCTTCCCTTCTCACCGTCGTCATTTCAGCCCGTTTGCACCCACTTGACTTGATTGAGTATAGGCCTCCTCTTTATTACGCCATTCTTTCCGGTTCCTTGCGAGTCGTGTCCAGTGGTTTCCAACCATGGCCTTGATGTCATCAATCCAACGCGCGGATGGTCTGCCTCTTGGTCTTTTTGCGTTCAGTAATGGCTTTCATCCATCTTCTATCGTCCCTTCTAGCCAAGTGCCCTGCCCACCTCCACTTAAGCTTGGCTATCCTCGTACCCACGTCTACTACCTTTGTGCGACTCTCTTCTACAAAGAAGAAATATAATAAGAATGGTCCAGGGAAAGAGTAGCTTATTAAAGACGAAAGTAAACCGTCGCGTCGAAGGGACGTCGAGGGGTTATCTAAATATGACTTGACAGTTTTCTTAGAAGCATAATATCTATTCAACTAAAAGGTTAAAATATAAAAAAAACACGTAAAATTATTATTTGTAAAACACGCAAGGCGCATTTTTTCCACACGAATTTCATCGCGCTCACCCCGCGCGGTCGAAGAGCGGAGCCCGCGTTACCGCCGCGCAGCGACCGCGTGCTTCTGTCATGGCAAAATACGCTTTATTTTAATTATTAATACAAAGATCGAACACTCAGAAAAAATTCCTTTGATCCGGTCGGTTCCATGGCTTAGTTGGTATAGCGTCTGGCACGGTATGCAAGAAGACGTCGGTTGAATCCGACCGGATAGAAGGAATTTTTTCTGAGTGTTTTTCTGAGTGTTCGATCTTTGTATTAATAATTATAACAAACTAGTGGAGTATTTTCACAAAAAGTAATTGAATATCAATTCAATAAAAATTTAATTAATACGCTTTATTTGTTTAGCTTTTACGTTTTACCTTAAATGAGTGTCCCAGAAACGCGGGCGAGTCTGTTTAGTTTAGAAAATTAATCCTGTATGTTCCACTGCATAGCAACGATCTTGTGCCTTTCCGGCTAATCATATATTTGACAGGTGACAAAAAAGCTTATCAACGCCTATATTTAAATCCGACCATGGATACACAATTATTTTGTTAGGAGAGGCTCCAGGCAATACCTACCACCAAGTTGATCCAATGTGGGGTCTTTGTAGATAAGTACACTTAGTATGTTATTATTAATTTATCTCATTGCGCGAAAATACTTTCGGTACGTTTCAAAGAACTTTTGTATTTATTCAAAGTAGATATCTACTTTAGGAAATTTCCATAGCGTGAGCATATCACTAAAACTGATAACAAATTGATGGATTATTTTTATGTGCTCTGCGGATAAAGTGACAAATAAGTAATTGCTGAACTAACAGGATTGCAATTGTTTTTTTATGTGTCTAATACTTCGATGTATCTAAGTAGCATTTCATTATGCAATTTGCAAAATGTGAATCAACTTTTTTGGTAGTACAAAATCTCCACGTATATACTACTATGGCAATTTAGAATAAGTATACCATTATGTATACTTATTAAGTACATTGTACAGTATACGTCGAAAGCTTACCTATCTATTATAATACTATAAGCTGCCCTAGCTATAGCTATAACTATATTTATGTTCTTCGCGTTACGCTAAACAGTTTTTTAAAACAAAACTTCAATTATTAAATTAGTTCATATTAGATGATTCATATTATATGGAGTATATAGCTCATGTCATATGCACATTTCTGCCGCCCACTAACGAAAACACGGCTTGACAAATGATCAAATAACCGTTTTAAAAATAAAAAAATAGGGCACAAAAATCTCTTAAAAACGGTTAACATTAGTTATCGTCTTATTGGAACTTACCCTAACGATGCATAGCTAAAATATCATTACACAATTTCAATATTCTGAAAAGGGGTTGTGGTTCTCATTATATCTCATAAAAATATTTTGTCACTTAGCGTTTTAGTTAGCGGATGGCAAATTTCATGAGCACACTCTTATAAATTAGGTACTTAGGTAGTACAAACAATAGGACTATAAGTAGAACTATTGTTTCCCTAAAGCAATGTAAAAAATTAGAATTAACCTTAATTAATTGCCAACTTGTACCTATTGTAATACGAAATTATAACAAAAATCTGTAGAGAAATTATAAACA